GGTTGGAGCAACCTGTGGCTGTGAAACTTCTTGAATTAATGCAGTTGGCGGTGTTTTGGGGATTTCTTGACTTGGTTCTAGTATGGATGAAGAGTCGCTTGGCTCTGCCGCCGCGAAGAGTTCGTTAGTTGTTGCTGGCTGATGAGCTTCTACTGTTGGTGGTGGTGCCGTGAACAAGGGGGTTTCCTCAACGATTCCGCTTGTAGATTTGCATGCTGTGGTTCTGGCTTAGCATCCAACTATGGGGCGAATAGAGCTGTTGCTGGTTCTTGTGGACGACAGGATAAATCGTAATTTTTCTGCAGGCTTTTTTAATTTTTGGGAATTTGGTTATAAAATGTATAGTGTTGATGGATTCCTCTAGCCAAATTGATTTTAAATCTGAGGAGTCCAAAATGTTTGGGCTAACAATGAGCCTTCGCGAGAGTAATAGCAAGCATTAAACTTTGCAACTCGATCGTCCGCATTCTGTTTCTGGACAGTGTTTCAGTGTTTCAAATAAATAAATCAATTTGTGAGTTTTGGCTATCCCGAGAACTCCATTGACAGCAAATGTTAACTGGTTAAGCTGGTCTTGAACCTCAGTGTTTACTTCTATCCGTCTACTGTTGGCATTCATTAGTCGCATTTCAGTGGACCTAATCTACTCTAAATGACCGGCATCGGGTGTACCCGCCACCAAAATGTTTTATAAAAATTATGCCAAGTGGCTAAAGGTAAATTGAAAAACTATATCTAACTTATTCTAAATTGCCTAGCGGCTTATAATAAAAGGTGTAATAAAAAAAACAAGGGAGTCATCTTAGGTTGTCCTTGTGGACCACCCTTCCTTTAATGAGGACCTCGGTCCCCAGGTCCGCTTCCACGGCCTTCTCGTCACATAAAGGTGCGAGTTTGTTTCCGAGCCGTCGGTTGGACTTGACCAAAACCTTGTCACCAACATCGAAGACTCTATTCTGCCGCTTTGCGTTCTCCCTAGCTCTGAGCGTCGTCTGAGCGTTTCTGATCTTTTCTTCTATCTTTTCTTGTGGCTCTTGTTTTTTGGGGTGTCTATCATACTTAGCCCTAGCACATGTTTTGCAGTTTTGTACTATTTCCTTGGCAATTTTTGCCATCCGTGGAAAGTAGTACTCCGAGAGTACCTGCTTAACATTTTCCTGTGCAGACCTATGGGCCCTATTATGCTCGACTGTGAGGATTTCCCTTCTTTCTCCAACCGCAAATATGTCCACTACGCGATTTTTGCAATGCCAGAACTTTGTGGCTGGGTATCTTCGCACCAATGCATCTTGTATCATTGTATAGCTGATCAAGTAGCGTTTCTTATTTCCAAAAAGAATAAAACTTCGTTTTAAGGGGAAACGCGCCTCTTCTAGCACTATCTGGTTTTGAAAACCGTTCAAGGGTTTGTCTGTCGTCTCAATGGTGTTGGTGAGAGATACCTCACTGTGGATCGTTGCTGCGCAGGACTCAATTTCTTGCTCATTTATAGCGTTGAGCTGCTGTCTTGACAAGGCATCCGCAACCAGATTGTCCTTGCCAGGTTTATAGAAGATACGTGCATTAGACTCGTCAATGCGCGCTTTCCACCTTTTGATTTTCGCATTTTGATTAGATTCCGAAACTGCGAAGGTCAAGGGTTGATGGTCAGTGAAGATATTAATGTCTTTCACCCCATACAAATAGTGCCTTAATTTGGCAAGTGACCATGCAATTTCCAATAACTCTCTCTCATTGGATGCATAGTTAACCTCACTGTCCTTCAATGTTCTTGAAATCATTGTTATAGGACGACCCTCTTGAGACAAAACTGCACCTATGCCGTGAGCCGAAGCGTCGGTCGTTAGATCGAATGGCTTCTTAAAATCGGGGTACCTGAGCATTACATTCTCGGATGACAAAATATCGCGCAACTTCTGAAATGCCCTCTGCTGCACTTCAGAGAATTGAACCTTTATATTTCTGGACCTATGCTTACTGACTGTTCCATTTTCACCCTTCAGGATATTCGAGATGGGTCTTGCTATTGCGGCGAAGTCCCTAATGAAACATCTGTAATAACTTGCGAGGCCTAGAAATGATCTGACCTCGAACAGCGTTTTTGGTTCTGGATACTCCTGTATTGCCCTAACCTTTTCAGGATCCGTCGTGGTGCCAGTGCTGGTGACTACGAAACCAAGAAAGTTCACGCTTTTCTTAAAAAAACGTGACTTTTTGACGGAGACCCTCATGTTTGCTTTGTGTAAGCTTTTTAGGACCCAATCCACGTGTTTAATGTGGGATTCCTCATCTTCTGAAAAGATGATTACGTCATTGACATCAACATAGCAAAATTTGCCAATCTGCTCTCGCAGTATGTCGTCGATGGTTCTTTGAAAGATGCTTGCTGCATTCTTTAATCCAAAGGGGAGTCTTTTGAACTCGTATTTCCCCCCGTTCACAGAGAAAGAGGTTTATTCACGGTCGCGTTCAGCGAGTATGATCTGGTGATAACCAGACTTGATGTCTAATGTTGAAAAGAATTTGGCTCTCCCCAAATTCCCCAATATCATTGATATATTTGGCATAGGGTATTTGTCCGGCACGGTTTTTTCGTTAAGTTTACGAAAGTCCATTACCAACCTCATTTTCCTATTGCCCGCTTCATAAGTGCCCTTCTTGTCTACTACCCATATTGGGTTATTGTAGGGAGAGACGGACTTTTGAATTATATCATTCTTTAGTAGATCTTTGATTTCTTTATTAACGAAATCAGCCGCTCCCATTGGATATGGGTAAAGCTTGGTATAGATCGGTTGCTCATCTATGGTCCTAATGGTAGCCACGACTGATGTGTTATACGGCAACGTCTCGTCTGGGTCTGCAAAGGCCTTTTGTCTGGTCTTCAGCATTTTCAAAAAAGAACTTCTAACTAATGGGGATGCATCTGCTATTTGTTCAGCTAACTCATTAATTCTTTGAGTCAATGCATGCTCCCTCTGCTGGTTTACAGCAGCCTGTTCGGCTAAAGCTTTGCTGATAGCCGTCCTTATTACTTCCGTAAGCTGATCTACATCCATTCTACCTGATGGTGGGAGAACTGCACAGTCGGAATCTGAGTCGCTAGACTGCCTGCGAGGGTTTCTCTATTGGTTGAACCGAGACATGCGCAGGTCAGTGGTCGCGAAAAATAAAACGGGCCGTCAGAAGATGGGTCGAATTACGTCGCAGTTCTGAACTACGAGAACTGCATGCACAACTTCAGACACACAGAAAGTAACACAATGTAATTTTATTGACGATCTGAATGATCAATTGCTGCCACTAAAATTCCCAAAGTAGTCACTCTCACTTGGTTCTGATCATTAATTTTTTTTTTTTTTTTACATGCAATTGCAATATAAAATACTCGCTAGTCCTAGGTATTTTTTTATAAAATAAATTTTAACACTTTTTGTGTTTGAAGAAAAATTTTGGCTAGAGTATCCACTTACAAGATTCAACTAACACAAAACAAAAAAAAAAAATCCCTTTATAAGATCTGTCAATTGCAGCTCCCGCGCTGCTGTCTTAATTGTTGTTGGTTGTGGAGTCCGACCACTAGTTGGGCGCCAATTATATGGTTTCCAGTCCTGTGGTGACTGAAAGTTAGGTTGAGAGGCGACTGTGCCTCTTATTGCTGGCCTCGGGCTCAGACAATGAAATAAGCCATTTAACGAGCAAATGACGGAGTGAATATTTATTTAAGCGGTTTACTGGAAGAACGCTTTTTAACCCTTCTTTGAATTGTTCTTTTTTGAATAATCGAAACAGTTAATTTTATTGGTTTTTCTTATTATATTCACTACTTTTAATTTGACTTATATGACACCAATTTTTAGCATGTCCTATCAGTACGAGTTAAAACACGAGACTGATCTATATTGTTACAAATCATAGCCTCACCGGCGTAAGTAGAGTTGCCCTTGCCAGGGCTGTTCCTTAACTTGTCTAGCACCCGATAATAAGTGTTGAATAATACCTTACATTAAGTGTTATAAGCTAACTAAGTGTTATAAGTTAACTTATATATTTATACATATTCTCCAAATTTTTGTTTCCGTTTAGTTTTGATATAACTCAACACGCTAAACTCTAAGCCTATTTTTAGTCAACTAATCCAAATGCATATCACAAACAAAAAAAACTCTCACGCCCTCTTATCTCAAACTTGGCTTTGCTGGCCTTGATCTTGGCTGCTGACCTTGATCTTGGCTCCACGCGTCGCCTCCACCCTTATCTCAAGCTATTGTTGCTGAGTCATCACGTCCTTATCTCAAGCTATTGTTGTTGAGCCACCACGTGATCTTGAACAAAATTGGCATGAGATGTAGGAGTTATGTTTGTTGTTATTGTTGTTAAGTCATCACGTGACCTTGAAAAAAATATACCAACTGGATATGACGTCACTTCCACTTCAAAACAGACTTCCGCTCCAAAACAGACTTCCACTCCAAAAAAAAAAAAACCTTATCTAAAGCGGATATGACGTCACTTCCGCTCCAAAAAAAAAAAACCTTATCTAAACCGGATGTGACGTCACTTCCGCTCCAAAACAGACTTCCGCTCAAAAACAGACAGTTCCTTACTACTATCGCTTGCATGCGTTCTTATGTGTATGCATTTATTATTAGTAATGCATGTATATTATATTAAAACATCACCACTTCGAAGGGGTTTCTTAGCCGAGAAGTCTCCACTCGAGCACTATTGTTTCTGCTCGATTTTATTATTAGACCGAATTTGCACACACATTTAATTCATGTTAAACCAAATCCAATTTTTTGCAAGTATGTTATGTATTTAATTTTTGTATTTAAAAATATTTAAAATTAACCAGTTTTAATAAACTGTGTACCCCATTTCCCAACCATCTTTTTTTAATGCTCTATGATTAATCAATATGTTTAATATTTTAACAATTGGTAAACATCACTTAATTGATATAATATTAATATAAATTCTTAAGCTAAAATACTAAAATATAAGATAATTATGATTGAAAATTATTGTTGTTGATCCACCCAATCGTTATTTAATCGAATATCCGGAGAATTATTGGTTAAATCACAATCGTCAACAAATTCGACGTGCGTAAATGGAAAATGACCTTTTCGTCCATTAAGCTCTCCTTCCCATTGCCCATTTATATTGGTTTTAGTGACTTTAATGATATCCCCTACTTCCAACTTTAGCGCCGTTTTATCGTATGCATTAGGCACGCGAGACTGTTTGACTCGAGCTCGAGCTGGCAATTTGCGCTACCAATACGTAAAAAGATTTTAATATAATAAATAAATCATAATCATATACGCACGTTTAGGTCTGTCCTTTTTAATGTACTAAACTGGCTGGATGACACGGTTGGTGATTCGGAACTGCCCCCTGTGGAACGTGCCGAACAAGCGCTTGGGTTTAAAGTAGCTGCATGGTCCATACCATCTTCGTCCAATGATTCGTCGTACTAAATCCAAAATACATATTTAAAAATGTGGATAAATTGTCGCCTACGAAAATTATTAATGTTTGTGTTAAATTTGCTTAAGTAACTGAAGAATATCTCTTAAAAATAATTTTATAAATCCATGCTTGCTGAGTTGACAATCTGAGATAAAATTACCCAATTTTACAGATGCATCATTATTGTTCCGCTCCAAAGATACATGTATACATTATTTTCCTCGACCATTGCGGCGTGATATATATATGAATTTGTACAAATCAGAACTCACCGTTAACAGAAAATAATTTTCATCATATAACTTACTAATATACTACGATTAAATCACAACCGACTGTAAAATATTCGTTCTCAGTTTAAAACAGCTAAATTTATAAACAATGTCTTCTGAGTGGCCCCATCCTAGTTGTAAGACTAATCCCCTTATCATTCATATTATTATATAACGCTAAGCGTTCCGAATATATATTATCAATTTCAATTAATACTATTAACAATATGTGGTTTATACAGTTTTATAATAAGAGTCAGTAAGTTTTCCAGGCTAACAATTATTTATCTGCTCTATATATTATATTATGTGATCCTCCGGTAAGATGTAGTAAATCAGAAACATAAAAATTGTCCAAATGTCTTAGTTTTTAACAGGAAAGGTGTATTACGAAAAGCGTATATTAAATACTATTTAGCTTGGCCTTAAGACTTTTGAACATATCTCTTAGTTTCTTCAATTTAAGAACTCCTAAATCGGCTATCAACACTTAGTTTCAAGATAATGCTTATTCCTTAGGTTTAAAAATTAATAATGTTTATCTTAATACGTTAATAACGGCAAATTCAAAGAGAAGGAAATTAAAAAAAGCTTACGCGTTGAACATAGGGAACTGGTATTTGCCCAACTAGACCAGTGGAATTGCGGGCTGTCCACCATTGCTCTTCATCTTTTCGAATTACCGTGAGAACTTCGCCTCGTTGAAACGGTAAATCGTCTTGATCCTAAATGTGAAATAGTATAGCCCATATAATTTAAATTTCTTTCAGTATACTTACGCTTCCAACAAAATCAAATTTGCCGATAACTTTTTCATGTTTTTTCTGCGCGGGTCGCTTCAGTGGTGTGGTGTCCAAATAATGCAGTGTGTAGAAAGTTAATAACTTAGGAAGGTTTTCGAAAGACTGATCGCCTATACGGTAAACTATTTGGTCCTGTTGTTGCACCTTGTTTATAATGTAGTTACTAACTTTAGTGTCTTCTCTTTAATTAAGAAGAATAAAATACAAAGGATAAGCATTTTGAATGTGTAATATAAATGTTTTTTTTACCCACCTAACGCAAAGGACGTAATCGCCTTCAATTGAATTGCTATCGCGAACCAAAAAAACTCCTCGTTCCCTCTCATTCATTAATACTTCGGTTGCATCTTGTCGAGACATGGAACCAAAGTACCAGCTGCAACATTTTCATATAAATATTAAGTAAGTTTAGTTGCGCTTATAGTTATAGTTAAATAATAAAATGTATACAACAATATATGTGAACAACAATATCGTGCAGAATCACTGGTTGGGGGATCGGATTATTCATTATTGAAACCAATTGTTCTTACCTGCTATTATCAGATACATCAAATGTATCCATGTTGAATCGAAAATTAATTCGGATTATTCATTATTGAAACCAATTGTTCTTACCTGCTCCTATCAGATACATCAAATGTATCCATGTTGAATCCAAAATTAATTCGACTTTTGTTCGATTATATATATATATATATATACGCCTATATATATATATAGGCGTATATATATATAAACACACACATATATATATATATATATATATGTATATATATATATATATATATATATACATATATTATTGCAACTTTAATTCTTTTTTCTTTGAGCGTTCTCTTTTTATTTTACTTCTTACGGATGTTCACATGGAGTATCGATAAGACTAACAAAGTTTCGGCTTATCAACCGATTAATGCAGCCCTCTACGATAGTTATGGACATCATATGAAGAAAAACGGAATACGATGAAATACATAATATATACATATATATATATATATATATATATATATATATATATACATATATATATATATATATATATATATATATATATATATATGTATATATATATATATATAAGCTTATCAACCGATTAATGCAGTCGTCTACGATAGTTATGGACATCATTTGAAGAAAAACGGAATACGATGAAATACATAAATATATACAGATATATATATATATATATATATATATATAAAAGTCAAATTAATTTTGGATTCAATATATATATATATATATAATATATAATAGTATATATATATTTAGATTTCGATTTATATGCATCGCATATATATATCGTATATTATAATTGTATAGCACTCAATGTATCGGTGTAACAGAATTCGTGACAATTAATCGAGACCAGTCTGTAAGCTGGCTTAAAATCGATACGATAGTCTCAATGTATATATTTAGATTTAGATTTATATGCATCGCATATATATATCGTATATTATAATTGTAAGCACTCAATGTATCGGTGTAAGAGAATTCGTGACAATTAATCGAGACCAGTCTGTAAGCTGGCTTAAAATCGATACGATAGTCTCAATGTATATATTTAGATTTAGATTTATATGCATCGCATATATATATCGTATATTATAATTGTATAGCACTCAATGTATCGGTGTAAGAGAATTCGTGACAATTAATCGAGACCAGTCTGTAAGCTGGCTTAAAATCGATACGATAGTCTCAATGTATATATTTAGATTTCGATTTATATGCATCGCATATATATATCGTATATTATAATTGTAAGCACTCAATGTATCGGTGTAAGAGAATTCGTGACAATTAATCGAGACCAGTCTGTAAGCTGGCTTAAAATCGATACGATAGTCTCAATGTTTTTCTCACATATCTAGTGGCTACGCCATTTTGTGTAAAAGAGAAAAATTGAGAAACGCAAAAAAGGAGTTTCTTTGTGTTAATAATATAATTCTTGATAATTTTAATACTTGGCAATTTGAGTTACAAAGTGCGGTGCAATGTTAATATATTGACGGTGTATGAAATACGTGGCATTAATACGTGCAGATTTACTCATTCTCATGTACATGCAATCTATGTTAATATTCTAATGTGTATGTACATATGTAACTGTATACATGCAAAGAAACTTGTTTGACGTAGATATACATTTACATAAAGGTATATACATAAATGGTATGTGGCTTGTATGCATTTTCAAATACAAATGCATCATTAAAAATTTAGTTAGCTAAAAATATGTGTATTTGTGGACATAATGTATTTAATGAATGCAATAACGATTTCTATTCGAGAACTGTGGCCATTGAGAAAAAATTTGGATTTTAAGTTATTGTTACAAACTACCTGATTTGTAGTCATGTATAGGTATGTACATAAATATGATACTTAATACAGAAATGCAATGATTGCATACAGGGCATTTATGTATTAAGTTTGTTATTTTTTCTACAATTATACATTTCCTCCGTAAAAAAAGTAATCAACTAACAATTTATGGTAATTGTTTTGGGCTATTGCGCAACTTACAATGCTTTTCGTAGTTGTTGAGGCCAATAGTTGACAAAACTTGACCTAAAACGTAGGTTGGTTTATAGAAGTATGTACATATGAAAAGAGGATGAATGTATGCCAGTGAACAAGTTTGGAATTCGATGTGCATTTTTTATCGTGATCATATAAAACACTGTATTTGCCCAATTTTTTGAAGAGCCCAACAATATTAACATTGACTTAAAAGTTTTACAACTTATTCACATGTATATTTTATTATATTTAGGCATTTGTGTTAAGTCTAATTAAATTTAAAGAGCATGAATAAATATAGCATATGGATATAAAGAGCCTGATGTTACATTTTTAGATGAGAAATAGTTGAAAATAATTATAATTTTGAATATATATATATATTACATTTATTCTGCAAAGCTAAAAAATTAATATTAAAATTTAAAATAGAAAGTATGTTTCTATATGTAGCACTATATGTATTTTGTGATTAGTTCGCAGGTTAATTTGTTATTACAGACTATATTATTATTGACAGACCAATATAGGAAGAATCAATATTAAATAGAAACATCCTTAAAGCTATAAACTCTTCTAAATAGTTGAAAAAAGTGAAACTTCAATTTCATAGTTACTTTTAATCGTTTATTTTAAATATCAAAACTATATTGAGTAAATATATTCATCAGTTCAGTTGTTGAGAACTCAAAGAACGACACGTGTACGTATTGGTCAGTTATTCCCGGGCCCTCTTAATCGATTGCTGACTTTCTTAACAGAACGCAACGTTCATATGAACAGCTGAGCAAATTAATAGAACCACCAAAATCACTCAAAGGTAATTAAAAAAAAAACTGAACAAACGGCAAGCATCGTTCAAGACCGACTGAACCTCATTGTTTATAGATACAGAGATAAACCTCAGAAGTTAACACACGGAAAAAGCTTAATCGGATCAACGCGTCTCCCTGATCAAGAATATATCTCATATGGTTTGTCACGTCTGCTTTGGCATGTTGTTTATGTTTTCTAAAAAACTTATGATTCGAATTCTCGATAGGTTTCACTGTATACAAAAATAAGCGTTTATCAATTTTTGAACATTTTTTTTGAAACATTTAATTTGATGTTACTTAATTTTTCATTGACAGGTAAATAAAGCATCAATTATGCCACATTTATCCTTAGCTGTTTACTGTTGGTAAAACGAATACAAGTCAGCCACTAGCTATATTCATCCGAGATGTCAACAATAAATCGGCGGATAAAAGTTAAATTTCGATATACTGAACCCATAAATCAGAATGAAGGCAAGTATATGAAGCTTTAAAAATGTCGGCAAAGTTAAAGGGCAAAGAAGTTTGATTGACTGATATCATTAGCTATTATTATTTCAGCTTACGCATTTTGTATACCCTTATCTCATTAAAAATGGTTTTGTTAAAGTGTATCTAACATGCAGAATGAGGCAAAGCAGACCCCATAAAGTATATGTATTCTTGATCAGGACGATAAGCAGAGTCGCTTGTCCGGTATCGCTCTGTCTGTCCGTATGTGTCAACGCTTCGATGCCAACATCTATAAGAGTTAGAGACTTAAAATGAATTTTTTAGAGATAAGTGTATAGCACGCGCAAATCAAGTTTGTTTCAAATAATCGATAACTGTTCCCGTTTTATTGATTCGGTTAAAAACATGATCGAAATAAAGTTGTTAAATTATATCGTACACTGTTTTGAAATTAAAGCCTCAAAATGTTATATTCAGTTGTATGTACATTTTATACAATTTTTGTTTTTGTTATATTTCGGATGCCGACTCCAAATTCTTTAAAATTAAGTTCAATTGCAAAAAGTGGCAATATGTGAAACTAAGCTGAGAAGAACTCTACTAGCATATGTAGATCATATGCTGAAAATTTCATTAAAATCCATATAATTCTAGCTCTTAAGACGTCCGAGTTATAATTTATTAACTGCATTTCAATCATGTTTTTATTCGATAACAATTAAATGCGAATAGTTATCGAATATTTGAAACAAACTCGATATGCGCGTGCTATACATGATGAATTATTAGCTGCTACTTATGTTAAAATTTGCAACTGCTCGCGTAAGCACTGCAGTGGTTGCGTTGGTAGAGGCGGCGCTCGTATGCAGCTAGGTCCGAGATTCGAGAACGCTGGGGATGAAAAATTTTTTATTGTTTTATTTTATTTTTTTAAATTATGAAGTGGCGGTGTAGGTAGAGTTGGTGCTCGTAGCGCAAATAATCCGGGTTTGAAACCTGGTCTCGCAATGTCGTTTTTTATTTGTTTTCCTTTTTTTTGTTTTGAATACTCGATACAAACTACGGAAAATATTAAAAAACTCAGAGGACTGAGATCAGGGTATCTCCTAGTCGGGCACCCCGACTTACTTGTTTTAATTATGAAGTGGCGGTGTTGGTGAAGCTGACGGTGTCCTAATGTCTGGTTTTAATCCTTTTTTCTTTAATGCTTGGTACAAACCATGGAAAATATTAACAAAAACAAGTAAGCAAGCTGTAGTTGAGTGCCCGACTAGGAGATATTTGCTAATTGGCCAAATTTCATTAAAATCCATATAGTAAAAGCACGTGTCAAGCAGCGCTAATCGCAGTCTTTATCCTATAGATATATACATAAACATATATACAGTGGAGCAATAATGTCTTCGTACAGCAATAATTGTTTTCTTTGGCAACGAATAAGTGATACAAGATGGGGAAAATTAAAAATTTTAATTTACAGATTTATTAACTAATATTTTAACAACAATTAGGAAAAAAAAATAATATCAATATTTTGCTTAGCATAAAAGTTATAACTAAACAACCGCAAGAAAACGCGCTTTTGGCTCCAATAGTCTTCGTACAACGTACTTTCCTAGAACTTTAACTGCAGACAAAAAGCTAAAATGATAACGGTTTTTTACGAAATTTTGCTTATGTATTTTACGCATAGTTGCGAAATAAATTCGAAGTAATTTTTATGCACATTTAGTTGGCGAGTGGACAAAAACTGATTAAAAACGCCAGGAAAACATTTAACAATTGAAGAACGCCATATTATTTTAAGTATGCATGTTAAGCAACAAAAATCCTATTCGGAAATTGCGGAAATAATTGGTCGAAGTAGTTCTACAGTACAATCTGTTATTGGAAGGTTTAAATATAAAGAGCGAGTAGAAAATAAGCCAAAATCAAGACAACCGAAAATTTTGACAAACTCGGATCAGCTAAATATAAAACGAATGGTATCCTCAGATCCATTTATTAGTGCAAATATGATAAGTGCAGAGCTTTTGAAGTCATCGAACAAGGAAGTGCACCCAGAAACTATTCGAAAAGCCATAGTTGCTAGCAGGTATAAGTCGTGCACTCCCAGACGAAAACCATTTATAAGTAGCGCTAATCGTAAAAAACGTTTGGAGTTTGCTCATCAGTACAAAAATCCACCAATAGAGTGCTGGCGTCATATATTATTCTCAGACGAATCAAAGTTTAATATATTTGGATCAGATGGACGACTGCTTGTGTGGAGAAGAGCTGAAGAGGCACTAGATCCAAAAAACACAATTAAGACAGTAAAGCATAGTGGTGGTGGTGTGATGGTATGGGGTTGTATGGTTGTATCGAGTGTTAAAAAAAAAAAAAAGAAAAATAAGAGACCGGGTTTCGAACCCGGATTATTTGCGCAACGTGCACCAACTCTACCAACACCGCACACTTCATAATTAAAAAAAAAAAATAAAACAATAAAAAACTTTTCATCCCTACAGGTCTCGAACCTCGGATCTAGCTGCATACGAGTGCCGCCTCTACGAACGCAGCCACTGCAGTACTTACGCGTGCGGTTGCAAATTTAAACATAAGTAGCAGCTAATAATTCAGCACAATTCAATCGTATTCCTTTCGAATAGAAAAGAATACACGCATTTGAATGTATGCACACTTATAGGAACAATGCGTGCGCGTGGCGCTGCTGACATGTGCTTTTGCAAATTGGCCAAACGTTTTGCTTAATAACTTCTGTTTTACTTAATGTATTTTAATGAAATTCAGCATATGATCTACATATCCTATTGGCTTGGTTGAGATGCAAACGCCTTTACATAATAAACTTAAATTTTAAGAATTTTGGGGAATTATACAAAATCCAACAAAAATCAAAATTGCATAAAATATACATAAAACTAAATACAAAATTCTAGCTCTTAAGACGTCCGAGATATAATTTATTAACTGCATTTCAATCATGTTTTTATTCGATAACAATTAAATGCGAATAGTTATCGAATATTTGAAACAAACTCGATATGCGCGTGCTATACATGATGAATTATTAGCTGCTACTTATGTTAAAATTTGCAACTGCTCGCGTAAGCACTGCAGTGGTTGCGTTGGTAGAGGCGGCGCTCGTATGCAGCTAGGTCCGAGATTCGAGAACGCTGGGGATGAAAAATTTTTTATTGTTTTATTTTATTTTTTTAAATTATGAAGTGGCGGTGTAGGTAGAGTTGGTGCTCGTAGCGCAAATAATCCGGGTTTGAAACCTGGTCTCGCAATGTCGTTTTTTATTTGTTTTCCTTTTTTTTTTTTTGAATACTCGATACAAACTACGGAAAATATTAAAAAACTCAGAGGACTGAGATCAGGGTATCTCCTAGTCGGGCACCCCGACTTACTTGTTTTAATTATGAAGTGGCGGTGTTGGTGGAGCTGACGGTGTCCTAATGTCTGGTTTTAATCCTTTTTTCTTTAATGCTTGGTACAAACCATGGAAAATATTAACAAAAACAAGTAAGCAAGCTGTAGTTGGGGTGCCCGACTAGGAGATATTTGCTAATTGGCCAAACATTTTGTTGAATAACTTCTGTTTTACTTAATGGATTTTAGCATATTTATCAGCATATGATCTACAAATTCTATTAGTTTGGGAGAGATGCAAACGCCTTCACATAATGTCCCTATTTCCAACTGAACTTAAATTTAAAAATGTTGAGGAAATTTGGAGCCAGTATCCAAATTCCAACAAAAATCAAAATTGCGTAAAATATACAGTGGTTCACAGCTTATTTCAACCAGCACCTTAAAAAACGTTTGTTGAGCTATAAAATCTAAACTATTGGGGATATCCCGAAAATTTAAATACATGTTGTTAGTGTGATGTTTAAACTAATATAAAATCAATTCATTTATTTTTTAGATATTTTTTCAATATTTAATAATGTTTAAAAACTAAAAAATGAGAATAAAACAGTTCCGAATATTTGAATCAAACTAGATATGCGCTTGCTATGCACGGACCTCCAATAAAATTTCAGTGTCTAGCTCTTATAGATGTTGTGATCGATACATTCACACAAACTGACAGACGGACGGACAAGTCTCAACCGAATTGTCCTCCTCAAGAATATATACACTTCGTAGGGTCTGCCACGCCTCCTTCTGCTGTTACATACATTTGCACAAAATGATACCCTGATTTCCCATTATCAAATCCTAGTCGGGCACCTTGTTTACTTGATTTCAATCTTTTTTGTAGATTTCAAGAATTTACAAAATCCGCAATTTTCAAGAAAACAAATGATAGTTTTTCTATACCTGCCAGATCTTCTTTAATGGTTTTTGGTCCAAACAGTTGAGGGTCAATGATTGATTTCTTCTCTAAAGATTAAAATACATATCTTTTCATAGTAACTTTAAAGCGATAATTTTATTCATTTCATGTAATAGTAATTTAAGTAAATTTAACTAAAAGTAATTTAGTCGTTAAATTTTTATTTTCTAAATACATTACTGTAGACTATACAGTAGTTAAAATAATATTTGGCAAATAATACACTAACATAACTTTCAAGTTTGGTAGCCCATACACTCTTTCACTTCATTTATGTGCATAAAAAGCTATTTATTCGATCAATCATAAATTTCCTCTTAAATATATAAATTGCAAATACTTTTCTGGCTTGGCAACATTATAAAGTAACGTTATGTTAATAAATATTTATTATACATATATTTATTTTTATTTTTACAGACATTGCTTTAAAATGTGGGCGTAACGCTCTATTAGCCTTCAACTTTCTGAATGTATCTCCACTTTCAAGGGCAGGCAAGGAGCGTAGCCAAGCAGTATTAAATGCCAAATTATCAAATTCAAAGAAGTCTGAATTAATATGTATCCAGCAGCCTATTAATCCTGCCAATAATCCGAATTGTAATACTCAGCGTACGCATGCGGTTAAAAGTTTGTTAAAAAACTGTGAAATCAGCAGCCAAGCAAACAGCAATATATTTGCAACGCAGACATCGATTAAATGCAACATCCTTCGGAAAAAGTGTAACATGATTATTGCGTTTTTAGTAACGTTTTCCCTTATATGCTCATCGCAATCGATATTAGTGGATGAAGACGATGTAGTCGGCATTGCTAATGGAGACCGTTTGTCTGCGATCTCTAATAACACGAACTTTCGAACAGCTGGAAAATCAATTTCCAGCAATAGCACGGCTAGTAGATCCGCAGTTGCCGTAAACGGATATCTCGACAAATTGGACAATTTGGAGCGAAGCGTTGCAGCTGTGCTAATTAAAGTGGCTTATGGAACAACATCCACAACTAAACGAAGTATACCCGATAACAGCTACATTTTGGGCCTCACCACTGTCGCGACGCCACTTTTAACTACACTCAGGTATGTCAATATATTGTAGAACGTTTATTGGGGCCATGATAAACCTGCTGAAAATATGCCTTCCAAACTTTATGGTTGTCAAGTGAGTTACTGCTAGTGCTTATACTTATTAAATATAATCTAAGTTACCAAGTACCCTAAAGATTGACCACTTTGTATAGCCCTAACTAATAAAAGAAAAAAACACTTTTTCTTAAGCTTAAGGTCGCTAACGATTACAACATTCTTAATTATTTTTTGTCTTTCTGAATTTAGCCCTGTTTGTCAATGTTTTTCAATGATGAGTTTCTTATAGCGCAGCAACTGGCGTGCTTTTATTGTTATGTAATTATACAAGAAACCTCTTATGATTAAAGCAGCAGTTTTGGCACCGTTCAGTGATTCATCGGTGATTGCCGACTAGAGCATTTTTGATTAACATAAGAAGTTAATTACGTTGCAACGTGATTAATTATTTATTTCAATTTTATAGGTACCAATCGGCTAATCAAGCCCAGCATAATGGAGGTCGCCATAGAAACTATGAACTAGACTTGGAGCGCGATCATGCGCTGCCCACTTCAGCTCCAAACGCTGATATATTAAAAAGTAATAATAATCCCACCTATCCGAATCCAAATCGTCATCACAGCATCAGCAGTCATGATAGAGATCGTCATCGACATACAATGCAATACAATTCAACGCCAATGCCATCAAGTAATTAGATTATGAATTTAATATGAATTTAATTAGTATTAAAATGTTCTCTTTTTCAATAGTTCCTAACTTACTAAAGAAAACCAGCGGCCAACCAACTATACCAATGTACCCTGGAGATATTCCGTCATATTCGCCACCATCAAGATCATTTTTTACTCCGCCATTACCACCGGAATATCAAAATCCATTTGCCGACAAACCCACATTACGGGGCACTAATAACGAAGGTCTTGTATCGAATACAGTGCAATTTAATAACAGGCGTCCAATACCGCCACCCAGCTTGATGCCCGGCCATGAAAGAATACCATTTCGTCCGCCCGATTTGGCAGCATCGATTGGTAACGAAAATGGAAATTCAAACGACAGCTACGTCACCAGTTCCGTAGAGCTGAAAAAGTCACTTATCGCGACCAGCATGCAGGGAGCATTTGACGTTTCCGGCGATCGTAAAAAAGCACTCAATACACCATCTCGCAATGGAAATGATGCAGTTGTAGTTGAAACACCTGATCATAATAATAATGCCAACAATCATAAAACACAAGAAACCGGCACTTCTAATGACAAAGAAAATACTAATAAAAGACAGGAAGTATTACCGAATATTAGACGTATACTGGGATCAAATGGTAAGAAAGGTGACATTCCTGCCGTTTTGCTGCGGCACGTGACACAACGTCCCATGGTCACCTACCATCAGCCACCAGCATCGCCGATTGTTTCAGTTGATAACGTTGAAGCTGCAATGGATAGTAGTAGCATCAGCAGTATGACTGGTGATAATGGTACATCTTCCGCTGCCAGTCCAAATATAAATAAGAGTAAACAGTCGCCAGGACAATTGGATTTGAATAATGCTGCTACAAAAAATTCGCTTGGAAGTAATTTTAGTCAGGCAGCAGTTACCACACCATCCGCTGCAGCTGCAGTTGGTGAGGCAGCTGCTACATCATTTACGTCAGCAACAACAAACGCAAGACCAACTTTGAAAAGCAATTTAGTAGCAGGTAAATCTGATCAAGATGCTGGCATAAAAGGAGTCGTAAATGGGGAAGGAAATGATGTGGGCGCAGCTGCTGCTGCAGCAGCATCTGCACATACCACATGGACTTGGGCATGGAACATACATATATATCTCTCAGTCGTACTATTCACCATATTAGCAGTCTATTCGTTTTACAAGCTTGTTACCTATAACAAATTAACACATCTATTCGCACAGTCATATTTTGTTTACATACAACTTATACTAATTGCAATTTGCATAATGCGCATAATTTACTTGTGTGTTGATGCATACAATATTCATGGAACATTTCCAATATTTGTCGCAGAGGTTTTGTTGAATTTGCCGTCAACATTCTTGACCGTTGCATTTGCAGTGCTAATACTATTTCTATTTCTCAAGTCTCTCAATCACAAAAATAATCGGTATTCAGCGCTAGTCCGGCCATTAACCGTCGTTGTCGGTTGTGGTGTTCATGTTGGACTTTGCATAACTTTGCATTATGTCGAATCGTATACACTACAGAACCATCATATGTACTATCAGCAACAGCAGCAACAGCAATACTTTCGTCGTCAACAGCAGCAACAGAACCAACAATTTCTACAGCAACCGCAATCACCGTTTTCAGCTAGCCCATCAAGCAGTTTGGCAAATCCGCCTCCTCCTCGTGTTCTGTCACTGATATGCCAAATAATATATATTTTCATTTGCTTTAGTTTGGGTCTACTATATCTGTATTTATATCGGATTCTAAAGCGCATACTAAGAAGCAAATCACAAAACTATATACATGGCTATCAAAATTTGTCCTATGCAATTCATATTACAATCGCAACAGCGTTGCTTTTTGTTTTATTAGCTGTTCTACAAATCTTTGGCGCTATTTGCATCTCAGCAGCGCGTCCTTTGATGAGTCAAGCTAATATTGTGGAAATTGATTGGATGCAGTGGGGCTATCAGTTTTCATTGCGTCTGATCGAGATTGCAATCATAACTCTAATATCCTGGGTGACGGGCCTAAAAACAAGCGTTGGTAGCAATGTCAATGCCGCCATATCCATCAATAGCGATGTTCGTATGGTTGGGCAAGCTACTGGTAGCTTTGGTAGTGCCAATGCCACCAGCAGCGTAATGAGAGAAAAGCATGCTGCTGCTACCCACCACAATTCACATTCAAATGTTGCAAACTTCTTCTTGCCTTGTACATCAAGCTCCAGCCAGGAACAGTTCGAAACTGATTATCCAGCCATTTGCAATGCAAATACTAATTTACATACGTATACAATGCGTACAGGAAAGCTTATCTATGATGATAGCTATGCTCTAAACTCGTTGGCGGGACCATCGGTGGCGTCTCCAAGTGGCGGTAGCACCGAGTATCAGCTGCAAGAACCTATGTATCAGAGACCTTACGATACTGGCTCTGTAAGAAGTGCTATCAATCATAATATTACAGCTGAATATGGTACACAAACATCTAGATACCATCATATTCATCATAATCAATATAAACATCAGCACAACAGCCGCGTGCATGAACCGACGTCATATATGAGCGCGGATTATATGACCGATTCAACAACCGATCATTACGAGAATCCAAATTTTGATTTGCGCACTAGTTCAACAGGTGCTGTCGGTGGGATCGGAGTTGGAGCCATACAAAAATTGGCCAAAAATACTGTTAGCTCTGGATCAGCATCTGGATCAGGTTCTGGGTCCGGTTCCTCCGGTACATCACAGCAGCAAATGCTGCTATTGCAGAGCGATAGCTGCTATTCAGAGCCATTACATGAGAATTCCAACTATGAGTTTAATAATTTTGAGCGGCCAGTTTTCAAAGAAAAATCGATTGGTAATGGTTCACATCCAACCGATGGATGCTGGCCAGAGAGGGAGAAAGACGGGCGCAAGCTTTCAAAGAGCCGGGATCGAAAACATGATAATAACAGTCAGCTCGATACGACAAATGAATATCCAGAACGACGTAGCTCAAACTCAACAAATTCATGTTCCTCATCAAATGGTATACGTTATACCAGCTATAATGCATATGAGAGTGGTGGTCATTACAATGGTGTGCGGAAAAGCGGTACATTAAGCAACATTGCTACTGGCTCGAAAACGGTTGCTGGTCAGTGTGGAGGTATCAGTATAGAAAATGGTCATGGTCCTGGCCCAGGCACTGGTCGTGCAATCACCGCTATGCCCGGCATTAAACGAGGGAATGGTGCTCAGACATTAGCACACACCGAGCGTTCGCATTGTTTTCAAAGAAGTGGACGTGTGAACACCGTCAATAATAGAACCTTACCATCGAATAACTTTGAGTTAGCACCGGGCGCTTGCAATGAATTGGCGATAAAGCAACTTCAAGTGAAGCAACAGCAGCAAACACACCACCATCCGCATCAACATCACCAGCTGCATTACAATCATAACAATTCCGAAGAGGAAGATGAGGAAGAAGATGAGGATATGATATCAGGCAACAATGTCGAGTGCACCAACTTGATAAGTAATAATGAGCATGGATATTGTATAGCAAGCGATAACAGCATTACGACAAACAAAACTCCACACCTGCATGTACAAAATAATACAAAAGACCTAAAGACAAATGTTTCAACAACATCAGGCGATGCTGAATCACCTTCATGCGCCGCGGATAGTACGATTGTTGCTGATCAGGGTTTTCTGCGCTTTCGGGGCGTCAATGAAGAACAAGTGGAGGTCGGTCTTGGCAAGCCAACAAATGGGGTTCATCAGCCAAATCGCAGCGCATCTCTAATATGTAGTAATATTAACGGCATCGACTGCTAAGCAAGTACACTTCATATATATATATATCTATTTATATATACTCTCATCGACACCTGTCGTCGCTGCCGCCCCTTACTGCCAATTGTAGTTAATTCAACACTTTCTACTCTCTTTAAACTTGTGATATACATAGTAATACATACATTACATTAATATATATATATATATATATATATATATATATATATATACATATATATATATATATATATATATATATATATATATATATATATATATATATATATATATATATATATATATATATATATATATATATATATATATATATATATAAATGCATACATACATACACAATACGAAAATTTAAAAAAAAAAACTTTAGTAACTGTATTCATATTCCTACAAATTAGGCAAAGCTTGAATACAATTATGAATATTCAATATATATTATTTTTAGTGTATATACTGTAAAATATATTTGCTGAATTTAAGAAAATCGGATACACAAAAATACACAGGTGATATCTGTTTTTTCTTAAATTATATATATATGAATTTAAGCGCTGCTTTTTACCATTTGGCAGCTGAAACACGCAGCATAATCATTTTAAGGCAGTTGAAAAATAAATTAGTCTTACGTACTTACATGTAATGATGTTAGCATTAATAATATTCTTTTATTCATATTTTACCTACTGATATAGTATTTATTAAAAGCAAGTTAAAGAATTAAGAATTAAATAAATTTTGGTAATGAATGTTCACATTTTTTTAATTTTAACTTATAAAAAAACAACTTTCAATTTAAATTTACATCGTTTATTTTAAAAAAATTTTTAAAAGACCTTTATTCCAAAGAGCTGTACTTCACGTTTTGTTTTGACATAAAATCATTATGTTAACTTTAAACCATGTTTCTCGAATAAATGTCCCAAATGAAGCATTCATCTACAAAAAGTCTTAAACAATTGTAGAAAATATATAACTGTCAATGTTAATTGGAAATGTATAATTCTATAAATATACTACTATTCTCAATCGCATGTTTTGAAGGCTGGCTTCAATGCGTAGAGAGGTGCTCTAATAACTAAAAATTTTTAGTATAAGTAAAAACTCTTAAATACGAAGAAATTGCACTTTTACAAAATACATAAACATTCAAACATACGAGGATTCGCATTAGTATTAAATATTTCAATAGAGGTAAGAAATTTCAGATCTAATATTAGTTATCAATTGCGATACGATTTCCGATCAACCAATATATGCTTACCGCAAAATTTCTGTATAATGTTAATTATTAACGCAAATAGTACTGATTAGATAAGGCTTCTGCATTTTTACTGTAAAATTCAATTAACAAAAAATAAAAAGAAACGTATATTCGTAGATATACAAATTTTTCTGCTTTAAGGGATGACGTATCATCACCAATATAAAGTATTTATATACTAAGCGGAAGGAAAAATATAGAATTTATTATATTGATCCAACTATGGCACAAGATTATAAATAAAATGATCCCCAATACATTTTTACACTATGATACAAATAATAAATACAAAAAAATAATCCCCTTATCATTATACGACTTACATAATAGAGAAAAATGTATACATACAATTAACTACATGTACATGAAACAATTAATCTTATAATAAAATAACTACTTTTATTATAAATTTTAACTTATTTATATATGATAATACGAAACAATCTCTTATTAATGCAACAGCTTTTGATATTCAACTACAGACCCATTGAAAATCTTAAAAACAAAATGAGATGTGAACTACATGGAAACAATTAAGAATCCGTAACCGTTGAAAACTGAAATTCAAACTATCATGGCTTTATTGAAATGTATGTAACAGACATAAATTATATATGTTCTTAACCAGAACACACACACGCAGAAGACACTCAATCGTACACATCAACAAGTAGATCTAAGCACCTGTAACCCAACTCAATGAAATCAATTAGGAACGGTGTAGTCCTTCAATTATTAAATCATATATCTGAGTTATGTAAATTTAATACAATTTATTTTTTAGAATCTTTCGGGCAGAATTATTATTTTACACTTTTCAAATACATTGTTAAATGCATACATATACATGCATACTATCTACCCAATTTTCTGGACAAGTGTGCATACCCCGTAAAGGAAATTATTTTTCAACAAGATGGGGACCCGAAGCACACTGCCAAAATTGTCCGAGAATGGTTACAAACCCAAGATTTTATGCTGATGGAGTGGCCAGCTCAAAGTCCCGAACTCAATCCGATTGAGAACCTGTGGTCAATCGTGCAGCGACGGCTCGGGCAATATCAATCAATGCCATCCAACCTAGACGATCTTTGGAAGCGTGTAGAACTGAAGTGGAACCGAGTTCCAAAGGAAACCATAGAAAAGTTAGTCGAGAGTATGCCAAACTGAATAAAAAATGTAATAGCTAATAAGGGCCTGTGAACAAAATATTGATTTAGAATCATATTTAATTTTTTCACTGAAGGTACAAAATTGTACACATGCGTTTTGTTTCAGTTTTCTTTGTTTGAATATTTTACTGATTAAGTTTTGTTTTTGTTATATACGGCAATTTGTTAAGAATTATATACATATTGTTGGAAAAAAAAGTTTTCTTTGATTTGCTTCCTTCGTTTAGAAATTATCGACTCACAAAGTTTAAAGTGTCAACTATGGAAACACTTTTGCTCCCTACTGTATGCGTGAGAACAATCTTCAAATCGAAAAGAATTCAGTAGGCAGTTCAGACAAGCGCCTTATTTGTTTTTATTTAATCGCGTCTATTTTATACCTCGCCAGCGAAAAATACATGTGGTGTCTAAGTATTTATGCAACAATTGTAACTATTTCTGGATATAATTATTTGCGTTGAGATCCATCAGGGCCATATGAATCCTGAAGTGCAGGCGCGATTCCAATGCATATTTCGAGAATTTTTTTCTTAAATGCAAATATTTTAAATAATTGGTTTATAGGAAAAAAATTTTATTGTATATTCTTACTTGGTTTCCTGCAGCATGGATATTGCTAGAGCCGGATCATTTTCTGCGTGACAAAGTGCAGATTCCACGGAGGCGTACGGGATAATAAAGTGATCTTGGACAATTCCAATCTGAGCAATGCACTCACCTAAATCCCTGAATATCGAATTACAGGAAATTATTCAATTACTTTAACTATGGATCTTGATTGAGAAATACTTACTGTAGCGCTAATGCCGGTTTACCCATTTGAACATAACACGATCCACGTAGCAAAAGGCATAGAGCCCGATTATCTGCGTAATATAAGTTCGTTGACGCTTCGGAAAGCGTGGCAAGTTCAGCATCGATGATTTGTAGAAAGTTATCAGATATTTGGTAGTTATTGCCAATAAATTTGAACATATTCCATAGATACATCAACTCAATCAGAGGCAAGACGAGTCTATTATTCTGGCTCCTATATCGAATAGCACGGCCAGCCATAAATTTTTCCATTGGCAAAGATTTGCCAGCAATTTTTTGCCTATACTGCGGCACCTCCAACATTAATTTTTCAATTTTCTGTTTGTCTTCGTCTGATTTAGGGCATAACATTAATTTAATTACAGCCAACTGATAGGAATATATAGATCGCGACCAGTTACTCTTTTCGAGTAATTGACTAGCATAAAACTGTGCATCATTCCACTTTTGTTGTATGCAATTGATCCATAGCAGCTCCCAAAAGCTTAAATAGTGAAATTGGGGCCAAGTATCCTGTGACTGCCAGGAGCGAACATACCACGATTCGGCGGCATCTAAATTACCCTGGATCAATTCAAATCTTCCCTTGAAGAACAGCATCCAAACCCCATTCGGATATTTAGTCAACTGGGTAGTCAGTATATCATCGCATAGGCTGAGATCATTCATGGAAATTCTAGCGCTGAGCATAGGTACAACCATTAGATGATAACCGAGCAACGATAATGCACACAATGTTTGCCGCAGGCCATTCTCTTGGTATCCTGTGCGCAGATCATTTAAGCCATCACTCTAAATATGTTTACTTCAAACATAAGCCTCGGAAGGACTCTGTCGTAATGTGTTGCTTACCCTATTGGTGGAGAACCCAATAAATTGCAGTATCTTAATAACGCGAGCTGGGAGCATAGATATCATTAGGTTAAAAGTTCCGATTCCCAGATGTACTCCGCTTCTAAAATGAATTTTCACGCTAGCTGAACTCGCATCCCATTTGCGGTGCTTCATTATTTGTCCACAGAATCTGAAAGCAAATATCGGTAGCTCCCTCTTGTTCCCACTCTTTTCATTTCACAGTCTTTCTCGATAATACCTAAAACAATTATAGCATTGACGGACTTGTAAACTGCCACGGATGAACCCACTGAGATTCTCGTCCTCGATAAAAGTGAGCAGAGCGCTCATCAGCAAAACTTCGGCCATACAGAGCTCCGCGTGGCATTCCAAGTCTGTGAGTGTGTTGAAATTTTTCTAAAAAATATCTGTTATATATCTATATATATATATATATATAATTTTAAGAATGATACTTTTTTGAATGTATTGCCAATTGCTTCCGTTAGAGTGCTTCTTTTTCGAAAACGTTGACAGAGGTCCACGCACTTCTTAAGCTCTGTTGATGCTTCGTCAATGTGCTCAAAGGTAAGCATTGCCCCAAGAAATGCAAATACTGCAGTGCCCATTGCATGATATAGACTCGATCCAGCAAAAGGTTTTAGCAGAGCGCGAGCCTCTTCAAACCTGTTATCAAAGAAATAGCTGATGGCCAGTTTTCCCTCTGTTAGAGCGGTTTGCAGGTCCATTTCTAATGGTGTTAAATCCAATGGCTCAGAACTCGCATCAAAAAACTCCTGAATTTAGTTTTTTTGTTATTTTGCATTATTGTAACATAGACATACATTTTAGATAACTTATAGCGATCTATCAGATCTATTCGGGAGCGCTCAATACCCGGAATACCCATTTTAGCAGCCATTGTAGATATACGAGTACGAGATAAACATATATATATATATATATATATATATATATATATATATATATATATATATATATATATATATATATATATATATATATATATATATATATATATACGTATATATATATATATATATATAAGGTATATATGTTCTCGATCAGGACGACAAGTGTAGTCGATTGGGCTCTGTCCGTATTTGTGAACGCGTCGATCTTAGCATCTATAAGAGTGTACAGCAAACTACCTATTCCCGTTTTATTTTTTCGATCAAAAGCATGATCAAAATACAGTAATTACTGCTTAAGAGCCTACAGTCTCAAAATGTTGAATTTAGTTCTATGTACATTGTCTACAATATTGATTCTTGTTATATTTTTAATGCCGGCTCCGAATTTCCCCAAATTCTTGAAATTTAAGTTCAGTTGCAAATCCGCTAAGTAAAACATAAGTTATTACATAGAATGTTAGAAAAGCACATGACAAACAACGCCAAGCGTATGCAGTCTTCTTATACATGACACATACATTTAAATGAGTGTATTCCTTTCTATTCGAAGAATTGAAATCACCTGTTACGTAAGTTGAGCCTTGCAACTTCTTTCTGAAGCAGTGCAGTGGCGCTGTTGGTAGAGGCGGCGCTCGTCGTGAATTTCTGTGTTCGGTTACAGACGGCGAAGGACGTTATATTTTTCATTTTTCTAATTATATAGTGGTAGTGTTGGTAGAGTTGATGCGCGTTGCATAGGCAATGTTAGGTTAAATCCTGGTGTCCTATTGTCAGGTTTTAATTATTTTTTTAATACTGGATGCAAACTATTAAAAATATTAAAAAACCCAGATAGGACTGCGATCAGTGTATCACCCCGACTAGAGATTTCATACTTGTTTAATTTAGTCTTAAAGGCATAACTTGAAGGTCGTGGAAGGCCTGAATTGGATACGTCTTCTCTTCCGTAAGATGGAACAAAACCTATTAAGATTGTAAATCAGGAAGCGAGTCTCTGCAAGTACATATTTTATTTGTGATTTTAATGACAGCTATGCGGGTTATTATTATTAGACAAGCACTCCCGACTTGATCACACATATTTGATATACAAATGTTTTTCTTTACCTCGGATGAATCGGAATTATTGTCATCATCATCCATGTCTGCCTGCAAACGTTAATGTTTGCCAACAATTTAAATAATAAATGTACAGAAATGTCCAACAAATGTCAACAGATTATGAAAAGAGCTGTAAAATTTTATATATATATATATATATACATACATATACATATATATATATATATATATATATATATATATATATATATATATATATATATATGTATGTTTGTATATATATATATGTTTGCTAAGAAAGAACAAACCGAAAAATTCAGCATTAAATTTTTGTATCATATCAAATTAACCTTTGCACTAGGCAAAATTAAAAATAACGTAGTGCGATTTTTAAAGGCTTAATCATATTGGGAAAATATCACTTTTTCGTGGCTATTTCTAGAAATAAAAATAAGAAATTATTATTTATCAAACTATCACACATATATGTGTGAGTCAATAATTTCCAAACGAATGAAGCAAATCAAAAAAATATGTATTTAATTCTTAACAAATTGCCGTATACAACAAAAACAAAAGTTAATCAGTAAAATATTTAAGCAAAGAAAACTGAAACAAAACGCATGTGTACAATTTTGCACTTTCTGTTATGCTTACTTTGGTTTGATTTCTTAATTCTCTTATCGGCAATAGACATGCAGTTTTATCGTTATATGTTTTATTTTTGCATTCCACACTTTTATGATCCAGAAATTCACGTGTTTCTTATTATTCGAAGCAGATTTGTTAGTTTTAGCAATTAGTCTATAAAGTACCGCGAAAAAATGAAGAAGCGTTCGTCAGATGTCGAAAATAGTATTATTAGCCTAACTGAAAGTGGCTGTTCGACTCGTAGTACTTCAGATCAGCTTAATATTTTTCATTCAGCGGTGTCCGAAGTCCAGAAAAGACGCAATGGTGCATCCAAAAACACTATTAAAGGCCGCAAACGACTCTTAAAGGACTCTGACGCCAGACTGATAAGTTCCTAACACCGATGAAGGCATCTATGGACATAGTAAAAGACGTGAGTCGGCGGGTGGCTAGAAGAGCACTAGCTAAGGTTGGATATGTAGCAAGTATGAAAAAAAATAAACCAGCTTTATCCGAGAAGAAGTTCAAGGCTCGATGGAATTTCGCCCGGGAACACAAGAACTGGACTGTAGATGATTGGAAACGTGTCATGTGGTCGGATGAATCCAAGTTCAACCGTTTTTAATCGGATGGCAAGCAATACTATTGGCACAGGCCCGGGGACAAGCTTCAAAAACACCATGTGAAGCAAACCGTTAAGCATGGAGGAGGCAATGTCAAAGTTTGGGGATGCTTTACTTGGTGGCACATTGGACCATTGCATAAAATTGATGGTATAATGTTAAAAGAAGACTATCTCAATATTTTGAAAACCTATCTACCAAATTTTCTGGACAAGTGTGCATACCCCGTAAAGGAAATTATTTTTCAACAAGATGGGGACCCGAAGCACACTGCCAAAATTGTCCGAGAATGGTTACAAACCCAAGATTTTATGCTGATGGAGTGGCCAGCTCAAAGTCCCGAACTCAATCCGATTGAGAACCTGTGGTCAATCGTGCAGCGACGGCTCGGGCAATATCAATCAATGCCATCCAACCTAGACGATCTTTGGAAGCGTGTAGAACTGAAGTGGAACCGAGTTCCAAAGGAAACCATAGAAAAGTTAGTCGAGAGTATGCCAAACTGAATAAAAAATGTAATAGCTAATAAGGGCCTGTGAACAAAATATTGATTTAGAATCATATTTAATTTTTTCACTGAAGGTGCAAAATTGTACACATGCGTTTTGTTTCAGTTTTCTTTGTTTGAATATTTTACTGATTAAGTTTTGTTTTTGTTAATTACGGCAATTTGTTAAGAATTATATACATATTATTGGAAAAAAGTTTTTTTGATTTGCTTCATTCGTTTGGAAATTATTGACTCACAATATATGAGTGAAGTTTATAGAGTCGATTATTCTTTTCGAAATTCAACTGCAATACAGAAGATACGGTGTTACGGGTCAGACCCAATATATATATACTCACACACATTCATACTTTCCCACATGCACACGGGTGAGAACACAAGCTGAGCTAATTTTCAGTTACTTTGACTCCTATTTAACTCGTATTCATTTATGTATATGTTTATGTATATATACATATATATATATATACATATATATATATATATATATATACATATATATATATATATATATATATATATATATATATATATATATATATATATATATATATATATATATATATATATATATATATATATATACATACATAAATGTATGCGTGTATGAATGTATGGAGATTAAATTATAATTGTATAGCTCATGTTATTATGTTATTCTATACAAACATCACATCACGTCATATGAATACACACTAACAAATTTATAAACATTAATTTGATTTGGCTTACGTGTTTGTCCCGTTATATACATACGCAGAGACACAAATACATACATGTTGTTGGAATGCAGTTATCTTTTTTTATTGTAGCAGCCGAAGAAAAATGAAAAACTAAGCTAGTCCGCAGTAAGTACACACAACACTAAGCTTTAAGCTCTCGTGCCGTTCGGTCGTGTTTTTATTGCGTTGCTATGTTTGACCGAATTTTATTATTAATTTTGTGATAACTTTGTACTTTTTACTCTAATTATTATTGTTGTTTTGTTAAAAACGTGTTGATTCAACAATGCCCGATTTATCAACTGGCTTATTGTTGTTTATCTACGTTTAATTGAAGCTCTGTACTGTGTTTCAGTTGTACATTGTTTGGCTTTATCTTTACGTTGTTATTGAAGCTTTTCGCAATAAAATATTTTGTAACCGAGAAATACGAATTAAAGTGCACAGAGCAAATGTGGAAACACAGTGCAAACAAATCAGCTGATCGAGCATGCTGAAAAGCTGAATGCTATAAGTTGCGCATCACGCATGTTGTGTGAGAACAAGCAAAATAATAATAAATAAACATAATTAATACATGTGTACGTACATTCCTTTTACAAAACATGAATAAATCGTATACTCATATCTTTTAAGTCAATAAACCCACTGCAACTGGGATGAGAGGGCATAAGTATTGATTGCTGCCTGCCGTATGAACGTAGTGAATCCACACACAGTATGCTTGAATGTGTGAGTGCGTGTATTAGACCACTCTTGGCTATAATATCCTTGTGGGAGTATGAAGTATGGTTATTAAACATGCAACAATGATAATATATGCTGTTAACTTCTACTATATATGTACATATATTGCTCTGTAACACCCACATATAAAAATCAAGTGCAAATCAGTCTCAGTTTTACGGCATTGGCCATAACAACATTTGTACTTACTTATTCAGCATAAGTAAATAAATCTATAATAATGATTATTAAAGTTTGTTCTAGGAAAAATCCGTCAAAGCATATACATACAATCCGCAGCATTAGGTGAGCCCCCCCTTTTTATACCCTGATCCCATTGAAAATGGGAAATCAGGGTATAATGTTGTGTGCAAATGTGTGTAACAGCCAGAAGGACTCGTAGCAGGCCACATAGAGTATATATATTCTTGATCAGGATGCCGGGTCGATTGAGCCCTGTCCGTCTGTCCGTATGTGAGAACTCGTCGATCTCAGATAGGTCGATATAAGATCTTGAGACTTGTTTTGGAGGTCCGCGCATGGCACGCGCATATCAAGTTTGTTTCATATATTCGATAACTTGTCCCATTTAATTGTTATCGAATACAAATATGATCGAAATGCAGTTAATAAATTATATCTCGTACGTCTTAAGAGCTTAATAGCTGGAGCCTCCAAATTTTGTATTTAGTGTTATAAATATTTTATGCAATTTTGGTTTTTTTTTAGAATTTGGAATCCGCTATAACTTTCCCCAAATTCTTACAATTTACGTTCAGTGGGAAATAGGAACAATATGTGAAGGCGTTTGCAGCTCTACCGAGCCAATAGAATATATAGATCATAAGCAAATCGAAGTAAGCTTTAATCATTGATTTTTTCCCTAGAGATAAACCCAAATATCTTCACAATAAAATATGTATTGACGCAAATAAGTGCAAGTTTTTTCGACGGAAAATTAACAACATAGTATAAATAACGGTTCTTTTTATCGAGCTTAGTTATTTTGTCAGAGCGATCTCAAAAGAGTATTGCAAAAACAAACAAAAAATGATAATTAAAAAATGTGTGGAAGGGGGCGCTCACCTAATGCCGCGGAGTGTATGTACTCCTGTTTTACTGTGTTGAAGACACAAAAAATTTAACAAAAATTTTCTGAGTCGATCAGCCATGTCAATCCGTCCGAGTGAACACAGCGATCTCGGAAGCTATAAGAACACTTCAAATTAAAAATATATATGCCTGTGTACCATAAGCAGTATGAGCTTATAATATTTCTCAATAACTTTTCCTTAATATCGCAGATTAAAATTTTTTTTCGATTTTGGATACAAATCATAATTTCAAAAGTTACATCATTGTCAATAGACTAAATTGCAGTTGGCCAATCATAAAGATATTTTTAAAAACGATTCTCACATTTTAAAAACAAAATATATATGTTTATACAGAATTAGATATGTATTTATAAGTATGTATTTAGTCCTATGTAAGAAATTTAGTATTTTATCTCGATGCGAGTAACTCTAATGTGTTATTCAAATTAATCTAGAACCCAATGAATATATATCTCGTTTTTGGAGCTCCAAGTGTTGCAATTTGAATTTTTGTTAAATTTTTTGTATACCGACCCCAAATATAGATAATGTTTGAAAGAATTTCATTGAAAAGCGCTTAGTGCACGGAAGTTATTAAGCAAAACTTTCAGCCAATTAACAGACTAGACTAGACTACTTAACAGTAGACTAGAGCTTTCTTGCGTGTTTAATATGTTCTTGAAAACATTAATTAAACATGTATAAACTGATGAATTACAGGCCATTAATTTTTCTTAATCATAACCGATTAATATTTTTACATAACAATCTTTATCTTTAAAATCAGGGCTTTCGTTGTACAGATATAATTAAAAAAAAAATCGAAAATATCGGGGATGGAATGCGGAAAGAACTGCAGCATGTGAAAATCATATATATATCTATATACAGCTAATCTAATCCAGATTTGTTATCAGTTTCATTGATTAGGCTAGTTTAAGTTTACAAATTTATAAAACTTAGCACATTGAGTTATTTGATAATTCTTTGGCTTTTTAACGTATATATACACCTATATATATATATAGATATTTATGAAGGTAAGTTACTGTGAATAAACCCTTGAGGAACAAATGTTAGTGAAACAGAAAGCTGAGAACCATCATAAAATAGGCGCCAAGTAAATTTCAATGTCTCAGTTTTATTGAGATTGCGAGTTAATCGAGACCTTTGGCATGCGCGGCTAACTGAATTACTCTTGACAAGCTTTCAGTACAAGGTTCGGCATGGAAGAGTAGAGTGCGATGACCTTTGACTCCACGTGAATAGCTAAATTTATTAAAAAGAAAACGATACTTTTGCGTTCATAAGACACAAAAAACTAGTGGTATGTAATATATTTCAAACGTTACGAAATTCTCGCTCTTCATAATTATAACCTTAGATATTCGTAAAAACCCACTTATGCAAGTGTACAATGTGACATATCAAAAAAATAATAATATATTCAGCGTTAATATATATTTTAACAAAAATTATTAATTTGTATTTGCAGTATAAAATCTAAAAGTTTGCCTTACGCAGGTATAAAGATATATACCTATTCGAAATACATTTAGGTATAGGATAAATGTAAATATGACAGTGTTTTCCAAATACGTTGGTCGTATAGCGGAAAAATATGACAAATCTGGATTGTCAAAGCAGGCTTTCAGTTACGCCCTAGTGGGCACCGCACTGTTTGCATTAACCATCAAGGTAACTGTACCATATATACGAAATGCCCAATGCATTAAGCATAAGAACGCGAATGCGGGTGCGCTCACACCTTCAGAGATCGATGGATTGCACGATGACTTGAAGCTGGCTGAGGCCGAGAAACTGCTAGTAGAAAAGCAATTAAAAAAGCAGCAGAAAAATAAGCAAATGCTCGAACCTGGCCTGAACAAGGAGTTTTTGAAGCAACTCAGCATGCTGGTTAGGATAATGATACCGCAGAAATTATGCTATGAAACGGGTCTACTAACTGTCCATACTTTGTGTCTCATCTCTCGGACATTTCTCAGCATTTATGTGGCAGCATTGGAAGGAGCGATTGTAAAGTTTATCGTACGCAAGGACATCAAGCAGTTTGCACTCGTTTTACTCAAATGGTTTGGAATTGCAATACCAGCTACATTCATCAATTCAATGATTCGATTTCTGGAGAGTAAGCTATCATTAGCGTTTCGGTAAGCACTTCAATATCTATCTATATATATATATATATATATATATATATATATATATATATATATATATATATATATATATATATACTTACATATACCTATACCTATATATATAAGAACTATATCCACGCTGCAAAAGTCAAAAACTACAGAGTTAAAAAGTAATTCAAGAAACGTCAAATTATTTAGCGTAGTATATGTGACACTGCCGATTACGCCTGAAGCTATTTTTATTGTAAAATCAGATTAGTAAGTGCATGAAGTGCATATGAAGATGCGAAATAGTTATGTTTCTTATGTCGTTTCTGCTGATTCGGCTTATTCTGCTGGATGGTAGTTACTCTATTTTCTCCTCGTACAGGTGCACGATATCCCTTAGTTATATTCGAAAGGCGTGGCATACTTTCGTAAATAATTTCTAAAAATATTTATTCGTTTATTAGTTAACATATATATAAATATATATCTCATATTTATTCCTTTGAATAGAACTCGGTTGGTGCGTCATTCTTATCGTTTGTACTTTAAGAATCAGAATTACTATCGAGTATCGAACTTGGACGGCCGCATCGAAAACGCTGATCACAGGTAATATATATATATATATATATATATATATATATATATATATATATATATATATATATATATATATATATATATATATATCATTTATATAATGAATATTTGTGCTAATGTTCTGGGGCTCTGTAGACTTACAGAGGATATTGCAGTATTTTCCAGCTCTGTAGCTCATTTATATAGCAGTTTAACCAAACCTTGCTTCGATCTGATGTTGATTGGCTTGGCTTTAATGCGCTCCTCCAGAAAGATGAAAGCAAATATTTTATCAGGCAATTATCAACAATTATCCCTTTTCAACAATATATTTATTTTTATATATATTTATATATATTTTATATATATTTTAAGGGCCCGCGTTATCAGTAAGTGTTATTGCGCTTACCGCTCATATTTTGCGTATTGTATCCCCCAAATTTGGGCAATTGGTATCAGAGGAGGCTAATCGATATGGTTATCTAAGGCATATACATTCACGCATCATAACAAATGCAGAGGAAATTGCGTTCTATAGCGGACATAAAGTGAGTAAAAAAGGAAAATATAAAAATTAAATATACATTTATATACAACAATAATAATATAAAATAATAATAATAATATAATAAAATTTGTATTATAAATACTTTTCATTTTTAACAACTAGGTTGAACTACAGCAACTAAGGCAGGCCTACAATCGCCTTGTTAATCAAATGAATAACATATTTAGTCAAAAACTTTGGTTTGTAATGCTAGAGCAATTTTTTATGAAATACGTGTGGTCCGGAACTGGCATGGTGATGGTTTCACTGCCTATTTTAACGGGAGCAGCTTCATCCACATCTAATAATAGGACTATGGAAATAAATGATTCGAGTGTTAGTGAGCGTACCCAATACCTCACAACGGCTAGAAATCTGCTTATATCGGCAGCCGATGCTATAGAACGTTTAATGTCTTCCTATAAGGAAATTGTAGCATTGGCCGGCTATACCTATCGAGTAGCTGGTATGCTAGACGTTTTTGAAGACACCGCTCAAGGCATCTACAGCAAAGCCACGATCGCTGAGAATGAGGAAATAAATGGCATCATTGAGTTTCGTGGCGGCAAACCCATTGCCAAGGGACGTATTATATATATCGATGATCCCGGCAACATGTCTATCAGTCTCCGAGCCGTGCCTGTCGTAACACCAAACTGTGATATTGTTGTTCCAAGCTTGACCCTGTGCATTGAGCCGGGTGTTCATTTGTTGATAACTGGTCCAAATGGCTGCGGCAAGTCCAGCTTGTTTCGCATTTTAAGTGGTCTTTGGCCAATCTATGCCGGCGAGCTGCACATTCCCCGCCCCATTAAAAACAAACCCTGTATGTTCTATATACCCCAACGACCATATATGTCCATTGGCAGCCTATGTGATCAGATAATATATCCAGATACTCGTGACGATATGAAACGCAAGGGTATTACCGAAAATGAGCTGATGAACATTTTAAAATTGGTCTCCCTCGAGCATATTGCACAACGGTAAGTTTTATGTATATATAGTATTTGAACAGGTAATTTGGTAAAAGACAGAGAGACAGGTAAAAGAGGCAGACTCCAAAATAAATTGCTTGATCTGATGATTGTCCCTATGTTTGAAATACATACTCCTTGGCACCGTCAGTCTTACGACTATAACTAAACATATGTATTAAATATATCTAAATATATATCTAGAGCGTAAAAAATACGAATTGGCCTAATAAACAACAAACTAGAATTATGTGCTCCATCGTGCCTAACTACAACATTCTTATTTGTTAATTATATTTATACACTTTCAGTAACAGCTTTGATGTGGTGCGTGATTGGAAAGACATTCTCTCCGGAGGTGAAAAGCAACGTATGGCTGTGGCGCGTCTATTTTATCACAAGTATTAAATACAATTATTATATTGTTATTGATTATTTATTATTATATATTGCAATTAACTAATACAATTCTTCAAAGGCCACGTTACGCACTTCTTGATGAATGTACCAGTGCGGTTTCCATTGACGTGGAAAACTCAATCTATGAAATTGCCAAGAGCATGGGCATTACGCTACTGACAATAACTCATAGACCAACACTATGGTAAATGGAAACGGATAAATACACCCTATACTATACTAATATTTGTGGGTTTTTAGGAAATTCCATACTCATATTCTTGAATTTGATGGTCAAGGAAGCTGGAAGTTCAGGCAAATGAACAGCAATGAGAACCAAAAAGAAAAGTTCATTCATTAATATGTATATATATTGAGTATTATTAAGTAAAGAGTGAATAAAAGCTAAATATATATGTTTTTAGATTTGAACGGATTTCTTAAGCTCGACGGTCTATGCGAGTCGACATAGTGGTTAATTGTTTATTAATAAATAACAAAATATTATTTTCCTACGATATTTTTTATATTTTTTAGAATCGTTTCAATATACAATAAGATTCACAATATCTTCCTAAGTAAAGTATTTTTTTTCTGCGTTATTGAAAAACATCAACCATGCGTAGACAACGTCATATATACAAGGTTCGGCATGGAAGAGTAGAGTGCGATGACCTTTGACTCCACGTGAATAGCTAAATTTATTAAAAAGAAAACGATACTTTTGCGTTCATGTGTACAATGTGTACAATGTACAATGTGACATATCAAAAAAAAAAAATATATTCAGCGTTAATATATATTTTAACAAAAATTATTAATTTGTATTTCCAGTATAAAATTTAAAAGTTTGCCTTACGCAGGTATAAAGATATATACCTATTCGACGATTCGACATACATTTAGGTATAGGATAAATGTAAATATGACAGTGTTTTCCAAATACGTTGGTCGTATAGCGGAAAAATATGACCAATCTGGATTGTCAAAGCAGGCTTTCAGTTACGCCCTAGTGGGCACCGCACTATTTGCATTAACCACCAAGGTAACTGTACCATATAAGTTAAAATTAAATAAGCGAATGAATAATAGACTGACTAAGCGGACTGAGTACTTCTTAAGACAATACTACCTTGGCTAGCTAGAATTTGAGTTGACAGCGGCAGCGCTGCTGATGACGGCTGCAACGTTGCTCGCATCCGGCGACGGCTGGATTCCTAGAAATTGCAGACTGCTGAGTTGCAGGCTGCTGATTAGGCGTTTTGGGCTAGTGTGCCGGTTGTTGACTGCGACGGGAAATTGTGCAATAATTTTGTTGTTAGCTCTTCCCTCTCTAAATCCGACTTGTCCCCAAGTAGGCCTTTCTTTGTTAAAAGTAAGGGATGTCTGCGTTGGAGCGGCGATGGATGATGCTCCTTTTCCTTCTGAGGTAACATGCAGTGGAATTTGGCTGACTTGTAAAGTAATGTTCTTCCTTTCTTTTCTCAGCTTGCAGAGGGTGGTGATGATGAAGATAGCAATCAGGGACAGAGAAATCAACGCGATAGTGTTGATGTGGGCTCTGATGTTTAAGTTCCTTAGTTGCCCAATGTTGTTGACGTGCAGCGCTTCCAGAGACTGCAGCGAAAGCACCTTCACCCGTTCGACCTCTTTTGGAGTCATCTGTATTATAGGCACTTCGGGCCTAAGGATGGTTGATTCGACGTTGTCGAACTGCTGAGCGCCGATATTAACAGATTCATTATGGAATCGGATGAGGTAAGTCCCTCCGATAAACTCCGTGGTTCCATTCCAGGTCAGGTTACCGCCGAAGTCGTTAAGCAGGATTAGCCCGTCGTCGATTTCCTCTATTTTTTTCAGATGTTCTGCGTTGCTAAAATTGCAGTGCGCACTAATACCCTTCACTAGTTTTGGTAGACAATCGGTATTACTTAAATTAACAATTTTATTTTTATGACATATAATATTATTAGATGTTTTACATTTCTCTGGTATTTCATAGATTAGATTTTTTTCCAATAAAAAAGTCATTACTGTTTAAATGAATAATTCTATTGTTTCTTACAACAGGTTTAAATATTATATGCTGAAAATCTTGCTTTTCTAACAAAGGTATTTTTACAAAGTAAACAAGTGTTGTACCGTTATGTAGGATGGATACTTTAGAGAATTCGAGCATTTCCTCGACTGACAGTTGGGTCAAATTTTGATCGTGAAACATGTTGTTTATTAAGATTAACTCTTCTTGGCTCAGGATTACAAAATTAATGATGTTTAACCTTGCCCACTGAATGGCGTGTCTGATATTAATAATTTCTTCCTTTATCAATCTTACTTGATTTTGGAAGCTAATTGCTATTTCATCACCTGCCACATACTTCCAAGCTGATCCTATCCAATTTATAGATCTAGCCTTTCTATGATTTAATGAGGATGTTATTGCGTAGAAAATGGTAAATGTTTGGGTTATTTCATGATGTAAAGTGGGATATAGATTATTAGTTTTTAGTTCATTTTCGGTGTACTGTGCTAAAGTTTCAAGTACGTTTTCTATTTGGTTCAAATCTATTATGTGGGCAATGGTTGTAGTAGAAGTTTGAAGTTTTCCCACCCCTTTGTTGATGGTAATGGTTTGGGCATTAGTGAAGTTAAGGATTTCCATAAAACATGTGCTCGTCCTTATCATGGTAGCCAGTAACCTGAGGAAAGGAAGTTATTGATTTATTATATTACTTTTGTGTACTACTTTTCCCGATTCAGTTAGTATAGTAGTACCCCTGTCTTCCTTCAACATCTCTTTCTTATACCTAGCTGTTAGCTTAGACCCTAAGCGTGTGTTTTGTCTGACAAAGATTTCCTGACCGATATCTTGTAATTTTTTACGTCCTTTGTTATGATGCTCCAAGTCTGTTGCCTGTTTTGTTCTGATTCGTTCTATGTTGTTCTGTCTGGATCTTTCGTAACATTCCAGGACTGTTGTAATATTCCTTCCAAAAAATACATCCAAAGGTCTCTTATTGGTAACTGAATGTATCGATGAGTTATATTCATATACTGCTCTATCCAGTAGTTCTTTAAAATTGTTCTGCTTCCGGTAATTTTTTAAATATCTCATTATTTCGGATAAGGTGGAATGGAATCTTTCCACTTGTCCGTTAACTGAACTTTTGTAAGGGGGAGGTTTATAGATTTGGATATCTAACTGATCCTTAAGCATGAAGGTTATAGTTTCTGAATTCAGCGACTTTTCGTTGTCCATCACAATAAACTTTGGTCGGAGTACCAGTAGAATACTAAAAGACTACTAGTAGAATACTAAATCGTGTAATGGTTCTTTAATATCCTGGATAGCTTTTCGTTGTCCATCACAATACACTTTGGTCGGAGTACCAGTAGAATACTAAAAGACTACTAGTAGAATACTAAATCGTGTAATGGTTCTTTAATATCCTGGATAGCTTTTGATTTGATAATTTTGGCCTGAGCTAGTTTTGAGAATTTATCTAGTGCTGTTAGTACCAATACTTTTTCCGTTGAGTAAATGTCTACGTGGATGATTTGTCCTGGATACTGTGGAATAGGGGTTTCTTTTAGTTCTGGGTTCGTAGGGTGTCTATCGTACTTTTGTTCTTTACATATCCTGCACTGTTTGATAAGATTCGTGATTTTCTCCTTCATTTTGGGGAAGTAACATTTTTCCGAAAGTTGTGCCTTATTTTCTGCTATAGCACGATGGGCCCTACTGTGTTCTTTAAGTATCTCTTCTTCCTGTTCGATGTCTGTTTTTAAAGTGTAAAGGATAGATCTTTTGTATTACTAACATTATATCTTCTGATGTTATGATTCCGTTTAAAACTGATGGATTTAAATACTTTTTTAGGATGTCCAGTATGTCCTTTACGTTATAGTTTGGTTGTTGAATGGTATGCCTATGGAATGTTGGGAATGGGATATCGAAATTGTAGCTGGTTAAGTCATCTTTCTTAATGAAGATTTGATTTTTGAATGCATTACTCGGGACTTCTATGCTGGGAATTAAATTATCCGCTGAACTTTCCGAACTATGTTGTGTTGACGCGACTGAATAGATCTGGCTAGGTCTTGATAACGCATCTGCGACTACGATACTTTTACCCGGTTTGTATAGCAATTCGTAATTGTATTCCTCAAGGTATGCTTTCCATCTTTTTACTCTGGAATTTCCATTCCAGCTGCTAAGCGAATAAGTAAGAGGTTGGTGATCAGTGTAGATTTTAACTTTTGATCTACCGTATAGGTAGTTTCTGAGGACTTTTAATGCCCAGACTATAGCTAACATCTCTTTCTGGTTAGTGGCGTAATTTTCTTCTGCTTTGGAAAGCGTTCTAGAGAGAAAGGAAATTGCCCTGTCACCTTGGGATAGTACTGCGCCTATGGCGAAATCGGAGGCATCTGTTGTTAGTTGAAATTCCTTGTTGAAATCAGGGAATTGAAGAATAAATTCATCGGACACTAGTGAATTCTTGATTTTGTTAAAAGCTTCTATTGCCTCTTGGTTCATATTAATAATTTTTTCTTTGAATTGTTTAGGACACTCGTCCATCTTCCCCTCTTAAAAGGGAGCTAAGGGGTTTAGCTAACTTAGCAAAATCCCTTATGAACCTTCTATAGTACCCTGCTAATCCTAAAAATGCTCTTAAATCTTTTAAAGTTCTGGGTTGAGGGTAATTGGCTATTGCTAGTACTTTGTTTGGGTTTGTTACGATACCTTGGTCAGAAATAACGAACCCTAAAAATTCTACTTTATTTTTGTAAAACTCACATTTGTCTAATTGGAATTTCATTTTGGCATCTTGCAGAGTTTGGAAAATTGTTTGAAGATTTTTTGTATGTGATTCCCTATCCTTGCTAAAAATAATAATATCGTCGATGTAATTGTAACAGATTTTCCCGATGTGTTCTCTGAGAATATCATCGAGCGCACGTTGGAAAATGGATGGTGCGTTTTTTAAGCCGAATGGGAGTCGTGTAAACTCGTATTTTCCGTTGTTCACGGAGAAGGCATATCGGACGTTTTTAGCGGAATTTGATGAAATCCACTCTTAAGGTCGAGGACAGAAAAGAGTTTATTGTTTCCGAGTTGGGCTAATACCTCGTTAATCTCGGCGATGGGGTATTTGTCTGCTATAGTGACATTATTGAGTTTTCTGTAGTCTATTACCATTCGAAATTTCCTTTCACCGGATGCATCTAGTTTCTTAGGAACTATACATATGCATCTAGTTTCTTAGGAACTATCCATACTGGTGAGTTATAAGGTGACCGTGAAGGTCGAATAATGCCATTATCTAGCAGCTCTTGGACTTGACTATTTACTTAATTTTTCAGGGACATCGGATATTGGTAGAATTTTGAATATATTGGGGAATCGGTAGAGGTTC